ATGCTTTAAGTCAAACTTCTCAACTCTATAAATATAAAAAAGCCATAAAAAAGCAAGGCAAACATTCTGGTTTTAAAAGCATACCATATTCTGTCAGAAGTTCATGGCAAACCAAATTTTTACTTTGTTTTCATCACTCACTGCCTCATAAATTATATTTTTAAATAAGAGACTTCAGGCAACCATATTTAGATCATTATATTTACTAGACATAATTTAATTCTGTTCAAAATTATACATTCAAAATAACACTGGGTGAAATAAATTTGTAAAATCATTTCACCCTTTATGGATTTGCTGGCATATTTTTGCATGGTTTTAATTCCTTCTAAAATACACACATGGAAGGACAACAATGCCATAACATTATGTCTCTAACTATATTACTATAGTTAAAACATAACCAAGGGAAGAGACAATTACAAAGGTTTTCCATGTTTATTATTAAATTATTACATATCTTCCTGCAGACACATCTGAAGTGTCCTTTGTAAGAGCCCACCATTGTGTTAAATCACTTCTGGAGGGCACTCCACAAGCAGGCAATGCATGCAGTTGCTAAGTTGTATAAAGAACATAAGTTTTTGTATTTACTTCTTTACAGTTTACATAAACTGTGTACAACAAAGTGAGCTTGGAATTCAGGTAATAAACACACTTTACCATAAAATGCCTCCAGAGTACTATAAATTATAGCCAGGATTTTACCCTGTTATTATTATTATTATTATTATTATTAAGTAAGTAATCAAAACTTTCAAAGAAAAACAAAACAAACAAAAACTTACTTCTTTGCATTTCCCTTCAGAACCTGTTGTCTTCTCAGTACTAAACTAATATGTTTATTTTCAGTTATTCCTTTCACTTGCCTTTGTAAATGCAGTCTATTCCCAAACTAAATAAAATTTGGCTATAAATTCTTAGGACTCTGACTTCAGGGAGTCAGGAGGACCACTATAGCACTCCAATGGTACATTTCCTGTAAATACATTAAAGGGAGAAAAGAGCTATCATAAAAAAAAAACAACCTGCATTTATGTAAAGAAACCTGTAAAAATAGGGTAATTCTGGGACTTTGGTAGGCATTTAATTCCTGTAATGGTTAAAACAGATTATTTTTAAAATATAATCTTTCTAATAATTACTGTCTATGAAAAGAGAAACAACTCCCGAAATAATAGGGAACCTAGTTAAAGCATTATGTCTAGCTCTTTAAGAGGATTATTCTTGAAAACAATACCAAAATGTTAAATTTTACTCAGGTGTGGACATTTGCTTTTTTTTTTTTTTTTTGAAATGTATTCTTTTTCCTTAAACACTAACTTAAAGATGAAACATTTCTCAATGATAATCCATTATATTTTCATGTTAATATTTTCTCACACTTAGTCTGAATGCAATGCAGAAAGTTAAAGAAATAACCTTTATTTTTAAAACAACTGAAATCTCTTTTTCAAACAGGTATCCTCACTCTGGCCTAATGTAAGTGCATGCTTAGGAAGCTCTCTGTTCTCTCTCACTGTTTCCAAGGAGTTGAATCAGTGAAGAATGGAATGGCTATTCTTTTGTTAAAAATAATATTTCATTGACAAACAACATAGGGAAAAATGAATCTGTTCTGTAAAAAGAATAATGGGTTACTTGATGATATATCTTTATTGAGCAACTGTTTCCTTTTCTAGATTTTAAAGAAAACAACTGTATTTTGTGAAACACTACCTGGGGGGGGGGGTGATTTTTAATGCTATCCAAAGATGTCTATTCAAAATACCTTAAACTGAGGTTTTTGGTTTTTTTAAGAACAGCCACATAAATGCTTACAGCGTTTACACCTTGCACATTCTCTCAGCAGATCTCCACTCATTGATAGCTAAAAACATTTGCAGCGATCCTGGGTAAGCATCTGTGTTGTGAAAAGTCCTTGTGGTCCTTTTCACCTTAACTCTGACTTGGAATAAATTCATTGTATAAGCGAGTATCAAGTAATGTGGCCCTCTGGTGGAAAACCCAGTATCACATTCTGCAGCACACTGTTAGTAAACTGGAAGCTATAGGATATTTGTCACAAAGCCTTACAGAGCCTTCGGAAGGCCACCCCGTGAACTTAATTAATAGCCTGCTACCTGGAGGCCACTCTGGCACTGCTGTGACGTAACTGACCTGAAAATCCTATCTTCCCCCCACTCCAGTCCTGTCCCAAACAACAATACATGCTCAGCATCCTGTAGCTTAACACATGCTCAATTTGCTCTGCAAACATGTTTTTTTTTTTTCCTATTCAAGAAAACAGGCTTATTGGTTTTAAGGAATCACCGAGAAAAACAAAACTTACCTGCTGTTGTTGCAGATGCAGCAGTTCCACTGTGCTTACTTCAGAGCTGGTGTCACCACTTGATCTTCCATCTCTGCTGCCAGCATCTAATTGGCTGCTTAGAGTGCTCATTCCATTTTGATTCATTGAACTGTTGCTTATTGTCTCTGTCGCAGATTCCTGCATCATGACCTAATACCTGAAAGTGATTAAGAAGTATCAATTAACACACGTTACACCTTCACACTTCCATTATCAAGATGTCCCTCTCTGCCAATTACAGGGACAGCATTTTTTAGAAGAAAATGAAAAAAAAAAAAAAGCCTTGAACAGTCATTTACCAAGAAAAGCAATATAAATCCAGCCTTCATGCAGATACTAATCACTGAAATGATGGCTCCTCCAAGCATTTTTGTGTGGTTACAGTTAACAGCCAAAGTAACATCCCATGCACATCCCATGGTCAATAGCATTTATGAACGACCACATTTTAAAGTCTACCTATAAAACCAGCTTAAATGAAGGCACGATTGCACACTCTAGTGTTCTATGTTTTCTATTATCTACCTTTGACAACCATGGATGACTATACAGCCTTCTTTTAAATATTCACTATCTTGATTCTGTCAGAATTTTACAGCACATCTTAGGCAATGCTGTTGTTTAATGATGCACAGCTAATCATACAAAATTAAAATTTTGTAAGGGTGTTACAAATCATATGGTTTCAGCCAATGATAAATTGTATAATGGGTTTCTCTTTTTGTGACTAAATAAAATTTTGCCTTGGAGGCATTTTAAGAAAAAGCTCCTGCTGCAAACATGTCAGATATTGCCTATTTTTTTTAATCAAACAGCTCATATTCATTTATTTTTCTGACGTTTAAAACATTTAATACTGTCCTTCCTGGGAAGTAATTAAGCTTATGCATGAGCAGCAATCAAACTGTTCACTTGAAGATGACTTAAAACTCAATTTTAACATAGGCAAATAAATGAAAGATATAAAATTAATTTTCCAGGCATGTATTAGATATGAAAGCTGGAAATAAAATCTATCAAGAATATCACTAATGATTGTGCTAAAAACAGCATAAATTATGCATATTACCTTCTCTACAGTAATAAATGTTTTATCATTTTCACTGCATAAATATACTGTACTTTCAGGGTAGCAATGAGATGTCCTGCCAAGATCAGTGGAAACTTGCAGTAAATAAAGAACCAATGTGCTCTTACAAACCAGAATTTCCCAGTACCTCTCCAATCTGTGATTTAGGAAGATCAGTTTTGACTCTTACAGATAGCTGAGCCCTGCACCCTAACCTGCTGGTAGCTGTGCTCCTCTCTTTGACTCTTGCAGACAGAATTTCAGAAGCAACCTGGCTGCACTGTGACTTTAATGGCGATGCTAGACAGGCAGAGGACTCAGCCTAAATAAAGAAGGATGCTACATATATCTCAGTCTAATTGTTTTACTACTAGATTCTTTCAGTACTTTAAACTTGGTCATATTTTAAGAGTTTTGTTCATTTTTAAAAATTTAAATGCATTTATTATAAAGCAAATGTAAGCTTCGTATTTTTTTTGTGTCACAGAAAAATCTTCCTCAGACTCTTACAAAATGTGATCATGGACACCCATACACACAGAGAGACACAGACATTCATATATATATATATATATATATATATATATATATATATATATCTCCAACAGAGATTTGTTTGCATATTAACATTGTCATTATTAAAATTAATGTTTATAACAATACTTTGAACAGGTATTTTCCTCAAGCCTAAATTATTAGGTTAATTCTATAACTTTAAAAAATCAATTAAAAAAAAAGGCTTGCTTATTTATAAAAGACCACAAGTAGCTAGCCTAGCAAAGCAAATTAGTAGAACAAAAGCTACATATATAAATGAAAGTTATTCTGATTTTTTTAAAAGCAGCAACAACAAAAATATCCCATAATCATAAAAGAAGCAATTGCTGTAACCGTAGTAAACAATTTTTGAACCACATGTGTTTATGCAGAAATTGGTTTTGTTAAACATCTTATTGAACCTAAACAAAGAAAAATCATACAAATGAAAATTGATACACAGTGATGAATTTTATAAGGAAAAAACAAAGCTAATACTCTTTTCTGAGATTAGGCAGCTAATAAGTATTCAAATTAGACATAAATTTTACATGTACAATCTTTAAAATATTCAGAGAAAAGGTCTTGATTCCCTTTACTAGTTATATGAAAATTATAATTTGGGTCCTCTCCAATTGTGGAAACAGATAGACATAAATTCTAAATATTGCATTTAAATTTTATTTTTGACAATACAGCTGGTATGTGTATGTTTTTCCTTCATCATCCAATTTTATTTTAAATACTTCGGGTGGAGTTTGCAATGCAAAAATTAAAAAAAAAAATTTTTGAAACTATTTTCAAATGTAGCAGACAGGTGCAAGCATTTAATAGTAACCTTTGGGTAGTTACTGTCAGTACCAATTGGATGAATTAAAGAATTCTGTATTATAACCAAGGCCATCAAACAATTAAGAATAATCAGCAAGCAGAGAGCCATGGGTTTAAATCTTTATTATAATTATGAAGACAGATCTACATAACTTCCAAATCCTATTAACCAGAGGGTTTTATTGTTCCTTGTGGAATTTCTGACTTTATAAAACTCTAGAGCATAAATTGTGATTTACATTTTAAGTTCAATCATCTAACAGTTACTAAAATCAGGCTTCAGAAAAACAATAACAGCATTAGTACTTTTTTTAAATTTATAAAACAGAAGCATTAGACTCCACATGAATATGCCAAAACGCAAGGACACGATTTAATAACTTTATTTCATCCAAAGCTTGGAGTAGGTCCACTACAAAAGAGAGGTAGCCTCAGAGATAATGAAAATGCTTCCCAGCACTTCCTAAGTTTTTACTCCTGAAACCTCCACATCTATCTTTCTCTAGGAGAGAAAATATTTCCAGCACCATCCGAGGTGCTGTTTACCTTTAAAAGTACAGATTCAGCATATTCTTCCTAAATGAATGGGCTCGCGGTCCCAAACACATCCAGCTAAATTATTCATTCTTCTCAAATCCTACCACAAACATTTTACAAAAATCTGTGAAGATAAATCCCAGGTCATTAAAGGGAAAGGTGAAATTGGGAGTCATCGTTTGAATGTTTGTCTGAACTGTTAGTTAAATCTTTCATCATCCACCTCTCTTCAACTACATCAGAAAATGCCTCTTCCTGCCTGGCACTCAGAGGGTACCGTTTTACTTTTCTTTCCAGCAGCAAGTTTTCCTTCCTTTCCTTTTCCCCTTCTTCTCTTTCTTATTCTTTTTTTTTTTTAAAGCGAGTCACTGTACAGATACTTATTCTCTACACCACTTCCCTTTTGAAACATTAAACTGACACTGGAACTGACTGCACAAGATTGCATTTTCTCTTCCTAAACAACTTGAATTGAAAGGTTACTTAGTGTAACAATATTTACTTGCAGAATTGTGTTGTTACTAAGGGTATAATGGATGGTGGCTATGCAGGTTTACGCAAGAATGAGTGAAGCATGAGGCATTAGCCATGTGTTTGACATGTTTCAAATTGCTATAATCCAGCATTAAACACACCCAGCAATTCATGCCATTTCTTGCAGCCATAATCTTGAATAAAGCGTGCACAACCACTTATTATATAAATTAGTATATGACTCCCTGTTATAGTCACAACAGTGCTTTTGTGTTTATTTTGCATCAAGATGTAGTCTTTTATTTGTACAAATAGCAGGATATAAAGACATAGCTCAATTAGGCCTCCTTACTTTATGATAGGGTAGTCCTGAATGCTAGACTTGTTGGTTTTATATTTCCTCTTAGAGTTATGGGTTCCATTGGTATAAAACTGTACCATGTGAGACAGACATTTGCCAGGCAATAACAGAAACCTGCGTGTATCCTATTCCATATCCACTACAATGTTCAAAAATGTGAAACCTGACCTGTTAGCCATGTTATCTCAACCGCCACCAGGGACACTATTGGTCCTTGTTGCGTACTCAACTTTTCCCTCCCTCTGTACTTTCACCTTTTTCTCTGCCTCTCTCCTTTTTCCTACAGCTCTCCCTGCCTCCTTCTTTTTCACCACTGAGCCCCGTGTGTGTGTGTGTGTGTGTGTGTGTGTGTGTGTGTGTGTGCGCGCATATGTATGGATATGGATAAATAGATGATAGATAGATAGATAGATAGATAGATAGATAGATAGATAGATAGATAGGAAGGTAGATTATAGATATATGATAGATAGATAGATGATAGATAGATGATAGATAGATAGATGATAGATAGATAGATAGATAGATAGATAGATAGATAGATAGATGATAGATAGGTAGGTAGATGATAGATAGATAGATAGATAGACAGATAGACAGATAGATGATAGATAGATAGATGAAATTATGTATGTCAAAGAAGGGAGAAATAACCTCTACTTGCCTCCACATTCCATCCATACACATACACATCATCTGATAATCTTGGTGCCTTAATGTTAAATCTCCATTTTTGGCATTTAATGAAAAAAAATGGATTGAAATTACTTTATGAAAAACTGATAATAGTATATATAAATGTATATGAGAATTTATTTCTGTGAAGTTTTCTCAAATAAAGACATATTTTGTGTCCAGGATCTGTTTTCTTTCAGTATCTAATTTATTGAACAAAATATACACATTAGAGCCAAAAGACACTTAATATGGCATTTAAATGAAAGTACACCTTAAGATTAAAAAGGTTGTAATATATTTTAAATAATTTAAGTATTGTCAATAGTATTATTAAATACTTCTATGCAGATTCATACCATAAAGGGTTAAATATGAGGAAACCCTGCATATGCAACAAAAAAAATCACATGCATTTACCTCAAAATATCAGCTAAATTCTGATTTTGAAAACTTGACTGTGACAAAAAACTTCTGTAAGACACTAGCATTTAAATAATGAAAACTTTTGTGCTCTAGTGGAATTAATTCATCATGGATACTAGGCACATTGCTTTGGAAATTTCGTACTGCTTTGCTAAAAGTCTTTAATGCTAAGATTGCCTAATAAATCAAAATGCCAAATATAAAGGACATAGTTGAATGTGTAAGAACAAAAATGGA